TTTCAACACCACATGAATAGACAAATAGCTGCCACTGTCAGAGAAATCCACTGTGGCTTACTCCCATGGCTTCACAGAGCCTTTATAATTGGATCTGATCTAGATTCTGCAATGGAGAGGCCCTCTGTGCTGTCCAACAGGCTCACTTCAGGTATCTTATCAGGCCATAGAAATCTTCAGTTTTTATACCAATTTGCCTGAAAAGATATTTATCCCATTTATGTTTGTTTTTTCATGTCTTACCCCAAATATCCACTCAGTACAGATCCTATAAACAATAATTCATAATCATAAATACCAAGCAACCATGTAGCCATCAAACAATAATCCTCTGACTGACTTTATGTGATAATACTACAAAGACAGTTTTTTTCATATTGGACTCATTAATCCCTTTCTAATGACACTAATAACACTTAAACCCAATTTAATCTCACTTTGCATTAAATATATTACCCTTTGTATTTCACCATACTCTATGGCTATAATCTAATGATACTGAAAATTTACTCTGAAAAATATTTACCTTTATACAGAAGCGTGCACTAATCTGATTGATTCCTGGCCAACAAACTTTAGTTCAAACAACACCTGTGGTTAGTATTTTTACGGGGTCATTCAATTTAGAAACAAAAACCTTGTAAAAGGTTCTCAAATACACCCTCATAACTAGCTAAAAACAAGAAGGTTACCATCCTCTCCAGCTACTGAGAATGCTAACTTTTTCACAAAAGAAAATAATTTTTGTACTGAGGGCAAAGTTAATTAGCTCCAACAAAAACCCTGTAAAGCGTTAAAAGTAAAAGGTATTTTGATACAACCCTCTTTAAAGCTTCAGGGGAAAAAACAACTTGGAAGCAGTATAAATCTTCTCTGACATTCAGCTGTTGATATTGGACTTTTAATGTTAGCCCACATGAGAGAAGGCTCGGATCAGGACTAACCAGTGTTTGGTGATTTTAATGTTTTTAGTGGCCGTGTTTTAGGACCACTCAGCAAAGACTTTAAAGGGGGTTAAAGTAGGTATTTATTTTGAATCATTATCTAAATTATCTTAAGACATTAAAAATCACCTGTAAAACCTGATTTTAAAAAAACTTTAAAAAGTTTGTTGATTTTTGCCACAAAAGTGGGATTTTTGTTCTCCATTAGCCACCATTGTTTCAGTTTTCCCCACATAATCTGGATTAATTTAGTGCCATCTGTCTCGTAGTCTGCTTTAATACTAGTAAACTAGTTATCCAGCTGAGCAGATATATAAAAAAGGTGGCGCACCTATAACTTTTTTACATATTCGCCATGCTTTATTTGTTATTAAAGTCCAACTTCAAATCCAGATTATCAAGGGTAACCAAACGCAAAACAACAACAGCCAGCGAGATTGCAGCTATTTAATGAGGTTACAATACGAGCTAGTGCACAGACAATATAAAAGATGGATGTAGCCACCATGACGTTACGAAGCCTTGGGCGGAACTTTTTCAGTGTTTTGAAACTCGATGCGACAACTGATCAATCAGAACTTGTTAGCCAGTGAGTATACCCTGGATCGTTCTCCTTTCTGACAATTAACAAAGTGGACCTGACGGTTTATTTGATATGACTTGAAATTCTGAGCTATATTTTTCCATAGGCTTCTCTAGGGCCAGAAGTCCTTTTGCAGCCAGAGAAGTCACCTCCTGGTGCCCTTTAAAAAAATGTATGTTGAAGGCACTTCTATGCTGGCTTCAGTTTTCAGGCCTGGAAGCTACACCCATTTTTTCATTGTCTATGCTAGCATACAGAAGCCCATTTTGAAGATGTAAGCCACCTGTACCCCCTCCTCCAACCCTCCAGCCTGTGAGTCCATGCACTGGTCCAAGAGGCCTGCTCACCATGGGATTACTTACCTTTGTTTCTTGTGTTTTTTTTGAGGTTTGGAAAGGCTAAAAATCTGGCTGCTACGCTTTTATGTGGACATATTAATTCTTCCTGTAACACTGTACCTCCACTCTTTCCAAATGTTAGTGATAACCTGGATCTGTAAACAGTTCATCCACTTTCACTGGCTGACAAAACACCCAGCATCACTAACCCTGTTGCTGTTGTCTCCTGTAACCATCCTGTGGACTGAATAGTGACGAGCATGAGCAGAATGTACCTCATGTCCCAGAATGTCCTGACAGACTTGGTGAAGAGGGTCAACATGAGGTGTTTTTCTTTGTTTTGTTTTTTTGTGAGGGTAAGAATAGTTTTTTGAGGAATGTACCATCCAGACACTCAACAAACTACAGCCACTGGATCGCTTTTTGTGGGACTGTATCTGCAGTGTTTGTCTCCAGAAGCGTGAAGACGATAGGCAACCAAGGAAATCAAGTCATTATAAAAAAATCACTTAGGAATGGATGTGTGTATATTATGAGTAATGTGAGTTAATTGGGTGCTGGAGGAGTGTACATATAATAATTCCGTCTTGTAAATCAATGGTTTTAGTCCATCAGCTGGTGAGATATCTACTTGAAAAAGTCAGACGGTCTGAATCTCACTGAGGTGGCGGTGAGGAGATGAGTGTTGTCCGATTGTGGCCTCGCTGCTGTTTCATCCTCATCCCGCTCTCTATTTCCCAGATGAGAATAGTAATCTGGGGAAAACATACATTAAATTATTGGCTTAATCTTCTGCAATAGCTTTGATCTTTTTTTATTAGTATCAGCCTTAAAAAATGCCAGTCATATCAGTAGGTTTGCGTTACAAACACAACCATTTTAGCTCAAAGATTAGAGCTTTCACAAAGCCTCGAACTCCGGGGAAGCAGAGCCGCCATCGGGTGACAGGGTCCTGTTATAGTGATAGACATATGACAATGTTGGAAATACATTACAGGGTTACCTTGGCAACTGGAGCTTGGACTATCCACCAGCTGTTAGCTAAAAAGGCATGGGTGTGCGTCCACAAGCGACTCGCCTATAATTCCCGGCCAAAATCCTGCAAATGCATTGACAGGTTCCCAGATTATTGCCGAACATCTCTGATCCAAATTATGTCACTAACACCAAAAGGCAGTGTCCATTTCTATGATATTTTGTTTACTGCAGGGGAGCACAGTGGAGCAGTGGTGCAGCACAATGAGACAGTCCTGGGTTCAAGCCCATGAGCCGGCTGGGGTTTTCTCTGTGCCCCAGCTTCCCGTCACAAACACATGTACGTTAGGTTAATAAACTACCTGTCAGGGTGTACCCTGCTTCTCACCATGATGGCTGGGATTGGCTCCAGTCCCACTGTGTGACACTGAATTGGATAAGTGGAAGATGGACAGATGGATGGTAGTGATAGAGGGGAAATCATGGGTCCACCAAAGTTGTTAGGGTTCATCCTCTGGAAAGCATGAATTTCTGAACAAACTGGGGAAAAATAGCAGTAATACTATCAGTGATCAGTTGTTAGTCAAAATACAAATGCATGGAAGTGATGCAATGGTCTGTAACCATAACTGTACAAGACCATACAAAAAGGAACAATCGCACCATTATTCACTACTTAATGATTTTTGCATTAAAGCAATGGTCCAGATATTCTGAATTAATAACTCCTAGGAGAGACTCGAAAATGTCATTTTATTTACATTCATTTCTCTAATGCTTAGTTTAATACAGTTTTACTTTGGTTTAGGGTTGAAATATTGGACTATGGTGGCATATCTGTCTCTTGAGTGAGCCGCTCACAGCCTGAATACATTTCAGATGCATTATTTTAGATCCTGAAGCCATATCTGTTCAAGCGGAGAAACACTAAATATCCAGCAAACACACAGTCTGCACCGTCTACTCCAACATAAAACTGTATTACATTAAGTTTGATGGTTTTTCATTAGAACGACATCTCCTTTGATGTTAAAGAGGTTTTGATATTTGGTGGCAGTTCTGCTCTGCTATAGGAAACTGCTGTGTGCACACTGACACTCTGAAGCTCGTTTTACTCGTGCCCACTCCAGCTTTGCAGTGCAGTTGTAGTTTTCGGTGTCCTGTTGTTCAGTTTTTCAAACCGTGACAGCTCTCAGTGACCAGGAATCGCCGTTGGCTGCATTCATGTGAATACAGTGTTACCCATCATACTGTAAAACCACAGAAGTTGTCACTGTATAAGCAAAGAAAGCATTTGCCATCATTCTCTGTGGTAAATCCTCCACCTTAGATCGAGAAACCCTACACTCCCCGACCCACTCACACTCTGCTTGCTCTTAATAAGTTCCTCCGAGTCGGACGTGTCCCCGCTCTCATGATGAAAGCAAGCAGAGGCTCGGCTCTGCTCTCCCATGATCACCGTCCAACTATAGGGCCCTCTGTGAATCTGCACTGTGTCTATGTACACAAAAGCTTTTTCTTTTACTCTGTAAGCAATAATGACATTGCATTAAAGGCTCTCTGTGGGTTTGTCTTCTGCTGAAGGATGCAACAAAATACAGTTGTGTTAAGCCATACTTGAAAGGGCATAATGGGCGAGTCCATGAAGTCTGTTTCCCATTCATTTTATCTGCAGATGAGTCTTAATATGTCTCAGATCAGCTTTAGCATTAGATAGAAGAATGAATGTGAAGCTTTCTTCTATAAAAACAAAAAAAAAAAGGAGCTGGGATGAAAGAGGCAGGATGTTTAAACTTGTATAAGCCATCTGTGTGCATTAGAAAAGGAGTCCGGACTTCTGAGACCTATGCACTGCTCAAATGTAGACCAGTGGATATGTGGTGAGTTGGGAGTAGGGCTGAGAGTGAGAGCCTCTCCCCTTCTTGTCCTCCAGGCTTGAAGACAAACCCCATGATTGGCTCTTCTTCAACATGCAGGTTAGGTAAAGAAAAAATGATAATAATAATAATAAAAAAATGTAAAACACACACTGAGTACCTGTATTATCTGTGTTCCTGTAGTATATAAATATGTGTATTGTAACTGGTGACTAATTATGTATATAAAGATTAGACCAAGTCTCTGGCTGATG